AATAGAGGATGCTCTTCTCTCTTTTGTTCTCTCTGCTTCTAGAGTTCGAAGTTGACAATAGGCTGTGTGCTTTCTCAGATTGGCAACCTCCGTGTTTACATTCGGCCTGCACACTATTCTAGAAGGCTCAACCATCGAACTTTATTGTGTTCGCTGGGTGCACTGTAAAAAATGACCGTGAAATAAACAGTCACCTGACCGTGAACGTCACGGGGCGCCCACCGTAAAAAAAAATACGGTATGTTGACAATGGGGAGTTTTCGTAGACCGCGTTGCCCCCTCCGCTAAGCGTTACGCAGCGAAGAAGTTGCTACTGCGCCTGCGCGCCGATAGCCTTGACTGTGGAGTTCCCGCTATCGTAGCGGGTTGCGGAGGGCCTTGCGGGACGGCGAAAACGATCTACGAAAACTCCCTGTTTTTCGAGTGAAAAGGGTACGGCGACGGGAGGAAAGAAGTGGAACGAGAGAAGGCACGGCGACGGAAGGAAAGAAGCGGAACGCCCCAAGCGAGGCGCGCTACACACTCCGCACCACGCTCCAGACACACGCACGGCACGCACGTGATGTGTTGGGGGCCTTCTGCGCCTGCGTCGTCGGGCTGCTCTCCAGCTCGCGGCTCGCGCCTTGACCCTCGCCCACAGCCCTCGCCATCGCGCTGCCTTTCTTTCGCACCTTCGCTGCCTTCGCCACCTTTATGTGTGGTCTGTCCAATCTAGTTAGCCACCACTGTTGGGCGCACTCTTAACCATACACTTGTGCACCACAAAGAGGTGGTACCCACAGGTTTCACACTGATTCTGCATATCTCGTCTCGCTGTAGCAGAGGCTCATGCTTGGGAAGGAAAGTTGTCATTTAAACATATGTTCCACATGTCTTTGAATAGACAGGGAAGTTGAGAAATGATAATCTGAAAATTCTAAGTTGGTGTAAGATTTCAAAAACCAAGTTGTTTGCTAGTACAGGGTCTCCTAAAAAGTTCACGCACTAACATGGCCCACAAATTTGAACATGTATATTATTTAGTGCATGGATTAAATGATGGAGATGTTAGTATTGTTGATCACAGTGTGAACATATCAAGTAGTAATATTTCTTGAACGGATATATTACTAGTTAAATTTACATGTTAGAATAAACATAAAAATCTTTGTTAAATGCAATTGTTGTGAATAACTATATTACAGAATTTTTGTCCCTAAACTTGACACTAGTGGTAACACAGGGGTGGGAAAGGAAAGCAAGCACTGTCTTCTAGTTTTGACAGGCAAACAGATGTATCTTAATGTAGTATTCACAACAGAATGAATAGGAAGTGTGCTTTTGAAATCCAAAACTTCCTTTTGTTGCTTGAAAATATATTTTTGGCTGGCCCAGAAGGTGCTCCGAAATTACTCTGACTGTTTACATCACATCAGCACTAGCTTGGAGTTACTTTCCTTGATTTTTTCAGTCTGTGGTTTTCTACTCATTCTGTTCTGTTTGAATATGTCTGTTGAAGGTCGGTCATCCTATGTGGGAACGAGGCATGCAACATGGAGCTCGAGCTCATTCAACACAAGGTCTTGGCACCAGGAAGATTTCAGCAGCCATAAGCAATGGCACTTGGGTCTAAATTTGGTGAGTATGATAATGATCGAGCACCCAGCTGCTTGTGTGAAAAAAAAATGGGGGGACACTTATGCTCGGCCTTAATGTATGACACAATAGCGGGAGGGCAGGGGGTGGAGGAGGAGAGGGGAGGTGGGGGCAAGGGCAGGGAGGGCAGCAGTGGGGAGGGGGAATCCTATGATCCCTTGCATGCACAAGGGATCGTGGCGCAAAACATCGAGGGGTTTTCTCGACATGCCGACGCTGGACGCCGGTTCTTTTGCTGCATTAACACTATTGGGTTGAAAGATAACTTACCTAGCCTCACTTAACTCAAGCATAGCTTTACTACGCTGCCTATAATTACATGAAAAAATGTCTATGCGATGCTAGAAATGAGACATGATTAGCATGCAGTCATATATTTTAAGAGAAATGATGCCATTGCTGTGCATCATTTCATGCATTTTATAGTGCATCTTATACATGGCAAATATAGGTCGATAAAATGAGAAGCATGTAAGTGGCAGCTGCATCACAAGCTGTCCATGTTTATTTTGGATATCATCTCAAATTGAAGTGCTGAGCACACTGCTTTAACCATTTGTTTATCTGAAGTGACACTAGGCACAGTGCACAGAGATTCTACTGCCAGCTAAGCCTGACGTTCGCAGCTCGCCCTGATGCAACCGGCCACGACTATTCATATCTCTTATGGTGTGAACATGTCAGAGAAAGATTAATGGTGCCTTTTCATTAGTGCACGGTGGCAAGAGAATTGCAGTCTCTGGGAGTGGGGAAAGACTAGTTCTACGTTAGTGCCAACAGCAGTCAACCAGCTTAACTAGATGAAGAGGAGGAGTAAATTTCTATGTGTGCTGCTTAATTAATGTCAACCCCTGATTTTGAAAACAAACTCACTCAGCTCTTAAGTTGACAAATGTCTGTCTAGTAAGTGAATAGTAGGCTTTCCCATAAAATAGCTGTATTTTTGTGCAGCATTCTCTGCCAAACTTTGTGCATATCCTCTCATTCATTTGCCCAGGTATATAGGGGCTGTGCTGGGATACTGATATGGTATTCGAGAAAACCAGAATACATGTACTACATGGCTAATATATAGCTACTGAGATATAATGAAGTTTCACTTGATTAGGAGAAGCTAAGCTAGAGGATGGGGGGGTTCAGTTGTCACATAAAGCTTCTTTCAAACATTGTAAGCAATATCAGCATCATTAGTTTCTTTGCACAGTGAATAAAGCGTGGCTAACCTTATACAACATATCTGTTAAATTGCTTCTATTTTGGCACATTTATATATGTTATATTGATGACTGGTTTCTTTCTTTTCCAGATCAGAGGGTATATGAACCTGGGTCCTCATCATCCAAGTAAATAAATGTTCTGTTTTTATTTCTATCCTACACATAATTTATGCTGTGTTCTGGCTTAATTGCATTTGCATGTACATACACAACGATCGCATTGCAGACATGAAGACCACGCTACAATTACAATAAACAGCATGCCACATATATTACAGGCACAAAATGGCTAACCTAAGGAGACTTCATGACCCACTGTTTGATTCATCGTCTGTTGACCAGTAGTAGGAAGTAAATCGAAGCAGCAAAACATGTGCGGTGAAATGCTAAGCATGTCGCACAATGCGGTGGGAAGATGATAGAATTCGACAATGCTTACTTATGTCGAATTTTGCATACTTTCTGACGTGTTGTACGAAGTGCTAGCGCTTCATTGTGCCAGCATTTTGCACCTTCAATTTACTTCTTACGATGGCCAACTGGCAGTGAATTAAACGGTCAACATTTTTACAGTGACCATTAAATTAGCAGTCAGTTGACCGGCAAATAAACTGCCACCATGCCGTGATCTTAGCGGCAGTCTGTAAATCTCGTTTACGGTCTGTTCAGCATCGCCCCGTAAAATTAACGGTATATTTTTTTACTGTGACCGTTTAATTTACTGGGAGATTACGGTCAGGCAGTAAATTTGAATTTACGGTCTGCCGTATAAATTACGAGAAGTTGCTGGCAGCCAGAATGCCAGTCAACTTACCGTAATTTTGACGGCCCATTTTTTACAGTGTGAAGGACGTCGTGTGATGCGATAAGCGTTGCTATACTGGCTTACCGTTTAGTCGGTTTTCGGGTTACCCATCTAGCTTTCTCGCAATAGACGCGCACTCAGGTTAGAATTAAAACGAGGCTGTTCAACCGGTGTTTCTTCACGTTGCTCTTCAGAAGTAACGAAATATTGTTACTTGTTACTTGGCCTTAAAGGTATACAGAACCGAAATTTGGATTTCGCAAAGTAAGGCTGCAGAATTGTTGAACGGGACACTACGAACTTCAAAACATCACCCGTACATCGATATCTCAAACGGATGGCCGTACATTTTTAAAAAAAGGGCGCGATCAATCGAGTTCTTTGACGTGACTGTCCTCCGCGAGAATTTGAGAATGAGGAGAAGCGGCCTCGCTTCTCTCTTCCTCGCTTCGGTTCACCAGCTTGACGGGACGTAGTGAGGAGGAGAGAAAATGGGAATCGTAACGTGCCTTGTCTCGTCGGCCTCGTCGGCCGGGTTCAATCGCGCACTTCTTCTCCAAAAAATACGGCGATCCGTTAGATATATCGCCGTATGAGTGAGATTGTTTGGTTTTGCAGCTTCCCGCCTATCCGCCCAGCATTGATTTTTTAAGCTCGAAATTTCGGTTCAGTATCCCTTTAAAAGTAACTAAGTACTATCGGGGAAAAATGAAATGCGGACAGAGGAGCGCGTGGCTCGCGGTACAGGCTGCGCCGCCTGGAAGTGAACCTAGGGGCGAGGGTGCGTGGCCTACTTCGATGTGTTCACGCCCCTCGATTGGCGCTCCCCCAGCTTCGGCAGTGCGCCTCTCAGTCCGCTGAAAGCTGTCACCGCTATCTTTGCCTGCTCGGCGGGTGCGGCGAGCTTCTTTGCACCGCACGCGCTGAGCCAGCAAAGATAGCGGTGAGAGCTCTCAGCGCACCAAGAGGCGCACTGCTGAAGCTTGGGGAGCGCCGAGGGAGGGGCGTGAACACGTCGGAGTAAGCCACGCACCCTCGCTCCTAGGCTCACTTCCAGGCGGCCCTGCCTGTACCGCGAGCCACGCGCTCCTCTGTTCGCATTTCATTTTTCCCCGATAGTACGTTACTCGTTCCTTTTTAAAAAAAAAAAGTAACTAAATACTTTACTTGCTATCGAAAAAGTAACTAGGCAGAAGTAATTCGTTACTAGTAACGCGTTACGTACATGGTTGCATTTTCCAATACTTTGTTAGCGAAATCCTTTCAAAGAAAATCCGCTGCCACACTGGTACTCTCAGAATGCTGCTTACATCAAAGTAATAAAAATGTACAATAATAACAAGTTTCTAAAATAGAATGTAACGGAAATACCTAAAAAAATACTTTTCCTTTGTAATTAGATTTTCCACAGGAGCAGTACAGCTTTTGGAGCCCTAATCACAAAGCACTGCCGCCAGTCACTTCAACCACGGTGCCAGTCATGTATGAGCTCTCAGGCGAGCACAGAAAGACGACCAAGTCAGCGACCTCAGTCGGCTGGGCGAGGCGACCGAGTGGAACCCGGGACGAAATGTCCTGCTTCTGCTCTTCTGTCAAGAACCTTTGATCTGGAGTTTCGGTTAATCCCGGAAGAACAGCGTTGCACCGAATTCCTTTGTCGGCAAGATCCAAGGCTGCTGTTTTGGTAAGGCCAATAACACCGGCCTTGGAGGCTGCATAGCTGCAAACTCCTTTCCAGCCCGTTTTGGCGACAAGACTGGAGACGTTGACCACGACTCCTTCAGTTACCCCTCCGGCCAGCATGTCTTGAACAGCGGCTTTGGTCATCAGGAAGGTTCCCTGGTAGATATGAGAAACACTTAGAGAACACTGTACACCATGCCATCTTTGAACGCATTCCATGAATAGCTAGACGTACCGTCTTCAGTGACATCGCTACTTATACCGTATTTCAATATTCAATATCTCCTGGATCGGATGGTTTACCATACGCTCGAGGAGCCTGAGTTCAAACGTGGATGTTGAGAACGCGCATTAATAAACTCAGACATATTTAGTGCATTCAAAAAGGCGTCTAAGACATAACCAAAGGAACTCTTCATATAATTTTGTTTAGAACTGTAAATATCGTTCCGGCTCAAAAATAATTTCAGAGCCTTTGCAAAACGTTCAATATGAACCGTCCCACGAACTGAATAAAGGCAAGTATTGCTTAAAAAAAGTCTTTTATCTTTAATTTCATGAGTGAATCTTGGCTGCTTACTAAAGCAAGCAACTAAGGAAAGGTTTAAATATTCAGATTCTGAGATAAATCTGACTCAGAACGTAGAAACCATTTTAGCTATTGGTCCCGTTCCACCCGAAAGCATCGAGTATGCATTGAGTTGCAAAACGTTGCTTTCTTCTTTTTTGCTTTTTTCCAACAAATTAGATTTTGTTCTGTTTTTCTCTTTGGATCGTTTTAAATCAGAATATTTGATTTCGAACGATTCAATAATATCAGCGGTTAAAAGAAAAATAAGGGTATGTAACTTCTGAGGGAAGGCATATCCTTAAAACAAGATAATTTTAGCGTCTCGGGTTTAGGTGTTTTTTTTTCTTCAACCGATATTTTTTTATAACAAAGTTATCTCTTTCAACGTTTGCGAAAAAACAACAGGTTCTCAAAAACAATGTAACGCCCAACAACCAGACGAACCATGCATCCTCAAATAGCCCACTCCAACTCTTAATTATAAACATGTCGACGCAGTTGCTCGTGCCATTCTAAAAGCAATTCAGCACGTAACACGTTAACATCACTCGTACACGAGCAAGCTCACTTAATTCAGTTAGGGGATTACAATCGTTGCCCTTTTAGACTGAGGACCTCACGATTTTAATGTTCAGTACAATTTCCAGGCGATTCAAACGTTTCTGCTTACTTTGAGGTTGATGCTGATGACTCGATCAAAGGTATTTTCACTTGTATCGACAATCGAGGCGCTGAGGGCAAATGTGCCGGCACAATTCACAAGAATGCTGGCAGGTTTACTGTAGACATCCTTAATTGACGCGAAAAGCGTCTGCACTGATGATGAGTCAGAGATATCAACTTGCATCGCAACGTGCTTCACACTATCGCTCGCAGCTGTAAATAGACGCGGAATTAGTTTTCCAAACAAAGCATGAATTCAGAGGAAGCTCGTAGAAACAACTTCAAAACAAACCCTTTTTAAACCGTTACGTTACTAAATACCCTTACCATTACCCTGTCTTTGGCGCCCTATGGCCTATGTTACTACTGCGCCAGAAAACTCCAAATTCATTCACCCTTACCATTATCGGTAAACCATCATAATTACTGCTGCCTGAATTGCTGTCTGGCTAGAATATTTCAGCTAGTTCGGTCTGCGAAATACGTGTGGCATTATACGTGTTGCTCTTGACCGTAGTATTGTAAAATTAAAAAAAAAAATAAACTATAAAAAACGACCCTAGCTTTCTTGATATTATTATGCAACTCCTGCCTTTCAAACCGCTTTCTATAGAAATTTTTGAAATTCCGATTACACTAAAACTCAATTATCACTATGCATCTTTTTAGACATTATTACAAGAGATTTTGAGTATTAATAGTATATATTATTCTCAATAGTAGAAATGATATAAACAAAATGTCTGATAGTCTGTCAAACCTTTACTCTTCTGCTTGTCTTTATTTAAGCAAAAAGCCTGTAACTTCATTCCCACTCTTCTCAAGCACATCCCAAACAAGACAAATAGAGACACAAACCTGGAAGAGCATTACAGACTTCCTCAGCCGTAGCCAAGTTGATGTCAGCGACGATGACTTGAGCAGCTTTCTCAGCTAAGACATTGCAAATTGCCTTGCCGATCACTCCTCCGCCCCCGGTCACCACGGCCAAGCGTCCGCACAGCGGACCGCCCTGGGACTTCGTAGTCATTCTTTGAGATGTTTTCAAAATCAAACTCTGCTCTGAAATCCTCCGTCAAAAAACCGCTGGAAGGTTTGGCCACCCAGCAACGCTTCTATATCAAACAATGGTAGGTTTAACCACCGACATTGGGGCGTCAACGTTGTTGCTTAAAGTGGTGCGGTGTGCAAAAAACCGCTGCAGCTTTCAACGAGCCGAGCGAAAATGCCGTGCTTCGTGTACACATCTACACTACCTGCACAAGTATATTCTCCGTTTCACTAAACGATGAAGCGCAGCGGAAGCTACGGGTCAGTTGAGCCAATCCAACGCTTTGGACGCAGCAAGTGACTGCGCCGTTCGCTTAGGTCATGTGACGTTCACGGTGCATTTAATTCGTTTACATAACGATTAACGCGCTTCATGATCCATCGTAAGATGAGACAGTGTATACATTCGGTGTATACCACCTGACTCGATTTACGAGCTCTGCCTGTTTTTGAGCGCATGACGAGAGTGCACCGCTCTCGATTCGGCTGCATCGCGAAAGAAAGTAACTGAAAAAAAAAAAAAAAAAAACAGAGTAATGGAAAAACATCTGTTCTGTGGCTTGGTATGGCTGCTATTCCACGGTGGAAAACCGCATGGTCAATTCGCTTCGATTGTTTAGACGCGCATATAAAATCTTTATACAGATATGTCCACCCGCCAACAGTAAAAAGAAGTTTGTTGTTTTGTTGGGACAGATTCCCATAGTCATACGTAAGCATGTGGTCAAACATGAAAAACGCAAGGTATAGATGGGTTGCTACTTGCAATCAGAAGTAACAGACCAGTATCAGCCAACTTCAAAGTTAAGTGATGGTCAAACATATAAATGAATGTAATATATGAGAAAGGAAAATTGAAATAAAAAATGGTGCCGAAATCGCTGCTGTCGCTACGCTGATTTCTGATGAAATGCGTTAGCACTTAGCGCAGGGGTTCCGACTCAGAAAAGGAAACAAATAGCAGACACGAAACGGTCCGCATACTGTTGCCTTCTGAGAACCAGCCTGCTCTTTCGGGTATCAGCGGTTTCGGATGCAGCCACCACAGCTTCCCTCAATTGTCGCCTACAGTCTGCATAGGTTTGTCTTCAAAGAGCCAATCTTTCCTCCCGGGTGTCGGTGATTTCGCGCAAACTTCGTTGTCGCTGCGCCTTGGTTTTAGGATGTCACGCACGTTGTGCCACCGCCACGGCCGCGCGATCCCTTTTTCTCCCGTTTCCTGCGGCGCGTCATTGGAAGCGTCCCTCTTGAAAAAACGTAAGGTGAACGTAACGAGCGAACGAACGGAGCCAATGAGCACGGCGGGAACCGTGCCACGGCCTCAGGAAACCAGTCCAGTCCAGCCCAGTCCGAACCACGACAGTCCGAAAGAAAGACGACTGCATGCACCAGGGCAATATTTGCTCATGGTTGAAAAAACCCCGAGACTGCGGGTAAACGACACAACACTAAAAAGTCTCTCTACTAGAGACTTTTTAGTGTTGTGTCGTTTACCCGCAGTCTCGGGGTTTTTTCAACCATGTGCAATGTACACCAGCTCGTTTGCGCCCTTACTTTTTGTTCAATAATTGCTTACGGATTAAACAAAATAGCGCATGAAACAACGTTACCGCTAGTTACAGCACAGTTGACTTTACGCAGATTGAACTTGGTGCATCGCATGAATGCCAGGCAAACGTCGCAAAACCCACGATCTCAAGTTGTATCTTTATTTTTGTTTTACAGCGATAGCGGTTAGTGCCTCTTTCAGGCAAAATATGGCGGGTCCTTGCGCAAAAACTAATTATAGTCCGATGAAAGAGCGATGATGCCTATCAGATTCCCCCCATCACCGTCGCCTCTCGCGCAGCCTCGTCATCTATGTGAATATGTGAAGTCGGGCTATTGGGCTGTTGCTTCCTTTTGCTCGTGCCCCCCCCCCCCCCCCCCCCCCCTTCCACGCCACCGCCGCTTCGGGGTTATTCTAAAGCTCTCCGGCGCGACTACACGGCGCTCGCTGAGTTCTCCGTCGAACCCCTCCCCCTCCCCCCCCCCCCCCCCCCACACACACACACAGACATACCTAACCCCTAGAGTCTAGACGAATGACGAGCGTGCCGTGTTGAGCAAAGTCGAAGGAGGAACGTAGAGGCGTGAGAACAGCAAAGGGGCACAGGACCCCAAATATCACGCGCGGAAAGCAGCGGGTCACAATGTCTTCTTAAGCACATATCACACAACTATTCTTCTAAAAGAAAAGCCCTAGAGCAAACATACTAAAGAACAAGGACTAAAAGCAAATCCATAAAGCCCATCTTTCATACAGGGGTAAAATAAACAACCTCATTATACGCGATCGGCTTGTCTGACAACTGGTAGCGGTTGCTTGAATACTATTATTTCCTTTTTAGCCGTAATCTCAGCCTGCACGGAAAACCGGTCCAGGCAATCCTCTCCCTCTTTCAATAATCTCCCTTTCTATCGGCCCTCTTATCGGTCTCTTATACCCCTGTCAGACGGGCACCTTGAATGTCATTTACGCTAAAGGCCTTTGGAATTTTCAAATGACATTTAAGTCGTGTCGTGTCAGACGGGCAACTCAAATGTCATTTAGGTGATGTCTATCACGATAGCGGTCTGTTGTTAACCCGGAAAACTAGTGTTTATTTTATTGTTTACTAAGTAAATAAAATGTAATGAATTCTTAGAACATAAAATCCAAACGCGGAGATGAAAACTAAGTACACGTTTTGACGGAGACAAGGTGTTTTGTGGCAACGACACGACGTCAGCAATGCCAAGTAATCCGTAGCCGTAGCCGTTCCGCCGCTTGGCTCGTCTGCTTTCGGAAATCCGTGCATTTTGCTCGCCGTTGTTCCTCGCGCTCTTTCGTTCTTCGCCGGATTCATATACCCCGTTGACGTTTACGTCTGCGATTGGTTCAAGCGAAGACCGTTACCATGTAGCGATGGAGCCTGCTGACGACAATGATCGTAGTGCGACGGATCCGGAACTGTCGGAACGTAGGATCGCGTTCCTGACGCGCAACTGAGACCGCGAGTATATTAAACAAATATATCGCAAAATGTGTGCGAGATATACACGTTATAAGCATTTTTTTCTAAAAATAATTGCTACAAACATTGTTTTCAATTGTATTTATATTATTTATAATGTTTTATTTCAATTCGCGGAACTTGTGCTGACCGCTGTTGACGAGACTACACATTTACGAGCCGTAAATGAGTTTGGGAGAAGTCAGTTGAGCTCGAATGTCATTTAAGTCGAATGTCATTTCAGTTGCCGTGTGACACTGCCTAAATGACATTTACACTGAATGTCATTTGGGGTAAATGTCATTTGAGGTGCCCGTCTGACAGGGGTATTAGCGCTCGAGTTGCTAGCGATAGAACCGGTAGGTTGACAGAGCTCTTCAGTGGTTCGGAGGACGTACATCACGGAACCCACCAAATCGCCAACCTAAAGGAAATGTCGACGAGGTCCCAGGAACGTTCTATGTGCGGACGCTTGGCTGTGGTCACCGGAGGCGGAGGAGGCATCGGCAAGGCGATATGCGATGTCTTAGCCGAAAAAGGTGTTCAACTGGTCGTCGCTGACATCGATTTGGCAGCGGCTGAGGCCGTGACCAATGCTCTTCCAGGTTTGTGCTTCTAGTTGTCTGCCTTGGTAGAAAGCTATACCTTACTTTGGAAATTTAATGACTACATCCATCTTTAAATTAAAAAAAAGGTTGATAGAGCCAAAATTTTCGTGATGGTCTGAAACGCTATAAGACGTTGTTGTTCTTGTTGCTGTTGTAATTCTTGTTTTTGTTTTCGCTGTGACCTCCCGGTACATTAATGGTTCAGCGATGATGAAACACGCGGTATGATTGTTCCCCTAAGATTGCAGGGTCGGCTGCATCCGGACTTATTCTGTTTTTGACTTTCTTCAAACCTAAGATTATTAAAGCCAGCCAAAAATTAATACCAACGTTATACTAACACTTTTCGAGGCGCTAAAAAACAACTATGCTAGTGCAAAATGTACACCGCGCGACACTCGTCATGGATACAAACATCTTTTTTTTATCAATTTTTAATGATAGGTTGTTATAAATCTTACAAATGCAATGGGAGTTGTCGCTTGGTAAGCTAACGTAAGCAGTAAAATTTTGTGGTCAGCAATAACCTTTCGAAGTAGAATACGACAATGTGCAATGACCAGTTCGCGCTAACATTGTGGCGCAGTGAACGCACTGTGGCCACCGTGAATTTTTTTACTCACAAATCCCCATTAAACTTCGCCGTAACGTCAATAGACGTTGACTAGTTCGTCTACTCTTCTCTGTATTCATACGTGTGAGACAATGCAATTGTTAGCTCACGTGCTCAGGTAAAGTGAAGAGAAGCTTCGCCTCTATTAACACCTGTTTTGCGGTCTTATAAGTAGTCTTCCGGCTGAATATGTAAATGTTTTCGCGACTGTCGACTGACGTTAAGTTTAGCTCAGCAATGATATGCTAGGAAAGATTCCTTCTGTATACATGAATATCAAGCAGTGTAACCAAGGCGTTTTTTTTCCTCCGTTCTAAGTCACTTTCTACTCGGCTGCCGGCACACGTTAAACATAATCAAGCGATTACGTATGTGCAAAGACAGCTTGAAATCCGAATATCAAGGCAGTGTAACCAAGGTAAAAATGAGTAAGTTAAATTACGTCACGTTGTAACATCAACAGCCCTCCACTCAGCCAAGATGTTTCCAACAAAAAAAAGTCATGAGCTCTCTGTTCCTCTCGTGTAAAAAAAAACCTGGACATCCACTACTGAATGGGTACGCGTTAGTCACCCGGCAGCGCAGCTACCTCGTCTCTGTGAGCATTTTGTTTTCGCAAGTAAAGGAATTTAGAACACTCATCAACAGCTTCTATAGACGGGGGTCACAGTGTATAAAGAGGCCAGTGCACGCACACAACCTTCAGGTGTGCTTCTTTTCTGTTTACAACTATCGTGACATTAAAGTAGTACACACATCTACATAATCGAGCGACTGAGAGATGCACAAAATCATTTCGCCTCCATGTATTTATACAAAATTAGTATTGAGTAGTTATAAACGTGTGTAATGCTATGTGCAGACGTGCGGATTCGCAGCAAGATCGCGCGAATTTTGAAACTGGGAGTCTGAAGTCGCCGGAATATCTAGCGGAGAGCATAACCGGTACGCAAGAGGTTTCTTCTTTTTTTTTCTAGATGAAGTATTCCGCTTATTGCGGCAAATAAATCAAAATTCACGAAGGAAGTGGCGCTTTCTTACGTCACATGTTGCCCAAGTCGGATAAGTTCCCAAGTTGCAAATGGCGCCGTCTCGCTGGTTTCCCAATCAGAGATGCCCGTCGAGACTGAAATATTAATCGATAGATCCTCAGTGAGAAAGAACAAATATGCTACAAGTGACCGCAAGGAAGAACTGTCGAATAAAATTGGCACTGCATTTTATTCGGTTATTGCGTCCTCGTATGTTCGAGAGAACAACCGGTAATATTTTATCATGGATGAAGAAAGAATAAAACAATTAAAACAGGGACAATACAACCACAGATTGTTACCTATTTAATGTCATGTAGAAGTAACGTGTTGACTGATATTACTGAAAAGCAGCCTACAGATGTTATACGAAATTGCACGCTGAGCAATTTATGGAAAGCGCGCTAACGCAGGAGGAACCTGAAAGGCTTTTAGATGGCGAAAAGGCCGAGACAGCGCACACTACCGCGCTATGGAGGCCTCTCCGATAGCAGATACATGGTGCATATATGAATTTTATTGCGTTAATGATAAAAAAAGGTTTCTATTATACTAAAAACGTCCAGGGCAGTATATTTTGAGGCAGGCACAAACTACACCGAGGTAAATGAAATAAAGCCAAGTCAGGAGCCTAGGCAGCCAACAGGAATTTTCGCGATTTTCTTGTCCTGTTGAGGGCCATGAAAAGGTAAATATTTATTTGAAATGGCTTACGAAGTGGTTGGTTTTAATATTGTTGTCATCAGCTGGTATTAAGTTCGTGCTATGTGACATTGAACTGCGTATGTGTTTCCAGGTGCACGTGGTGGCCATAAGCACGTTGCAATGCACGTGGATATATCCAACTCATCATCAGTACAAACACTCTTTACGGCCATAAAGGATATCTACGGAGCACCTGCCAGCATTCTTGTGAACTGCGCAGGCACTGGCGCCCTCTTCACATCAATTGTTGATACAACTGAAGATGTTTTTGATCGAGTCATTAGTGTCAACGTGAAGGTAAGCTAGAACTGAAGAAAGTTTCACAATAAAAAGTTTACTAATCCTGCATCGGACTCATTAAGTATAAAATAGCAATAATCGCTTTTCGATGATTGTCTATAAGGATACAGTATACTCACACAAAAAAGTTAACGTTCTGAACACATTTTTCTAAAGGTATATCTTTCTTTTTACAAATTTTGAATTTACATGTTTAGTGAGTTAATTACGTCTAAAGTTCTACGGATATATGCATGCTGTTTTTTTGTGTTTTTGTTTAGTTTGGGAATGTTTATCTATTACGCTTTTGCAGAAACAATGCTTCTTTTCCTTGTCATCCAAGTTACTGTGCCTTCTTTTGACCGCTCATGCGGACGAAAGGAACATTCATTGATACAAGAGTAATTTCTAATCACAACAGAAATAAGTTTTTTCTAAAAAGTTTCGAAAGGTAATGCGTGGAATTTACGTATTACGTGGAAATCCAACAGAACTCCAAATACGCTTAAGATAACCTTGAGCTACTCATTTTTTAAACTGAGTAAATATATATTTCGAAATGTTTATTGTGCCCGCGAATTCGCTTACAAAGAAGAAATTGAAACATTCGTCATTCTTGTCCGGCTCGTTTGCACCTTTGCCTTCAATTGCATTATAAAAATATCCTTACATTGCAAGTTCACCCTTGTTGGTGTTAGACTCCTGGCAGCTGATAAAACCCGTTTGCTCTACTGATGTCTAACCCCTGGTTAGCTCAATTGGTAGAGCGCTCCACCTGTAATGGAGAGGTCCCGGGTTCGATACCCGGATCAGGCGGATTTTTTCGGTCGCGCACCAGTCACCAAGCTATGTCTGGAGATTTGTGTTTGTCCTTTGCCCCTGTTGTTCCCCCTTCTCCAGGGGTTAATTCCGTAAAAAAAAAGGTAACTTTTTTTAAAAGTATTTTTCAAAAAGTAGTCTTTCTATTCGGCACACGGTACAGTCTAAATCCACCGTTCCATAAAGTTCTCGGTGTATAAACGAGCGCGAAAATCTTAGAAACAAACAAACCAAAAGCCGTAAATATGTTTGTTCTAGGATTGTCTCTGCATCGACTGAAAACATCTGAGCTTTTTGATACGCATTTTAAAATTTTGCAAGCAAACTTCGGTTCCTTGATCGTATTGCATACCACTAGATAAAGAAATGCAGGACATAGAAGTCTTGGCTTCAGTTAACTTTTTCCGTACCTTAGTATCGGCCATTGATCACATGTGCCGAATGATTTTCGCGAGCCGCTGAAGTTCATATTCCGTGGAATAGAACACGGTGCGCCACCTCGTGGAAAACTAACGAAATATGTAGTTTTGATTGTGAAGGTCATGTCGGTTTCAATGCATAGTTGTGCACTAAAGGTCGCAGGCCGCCAGCTGTCAGAAACAAATCTACAACACGGCAGCGACAGTTCGCAAACATGGCGCCCTGCACACATAGGTCACGGAAACAATGGCGGTATCCATCGCCCGAATCGAGTGGCTGTACAGCTTATTTTTGGATGACAGCAGCAGCGGGAACTGTAGATGTTGATGTATCAATTGATTTTTACTTTGATAGCGACGTTTCATTTTACATACGAGGAATATCAAGAGGTACTCGTGAGTGAGAACGGTTTTACCTTTACAGATTTTATTGAGCGCAGGCACACGCTTTATTTCGACAGGAAGCCTTACATACTGCGAAAACATAGAATAAATTATGCAATAAGTGTTACGACAAGCCCAAACTGTAACGCAAAAAAAAAAAAGCTTTCTGCGGGACACATGGTGTCTAGTTCGTGCGTTTCCTCACTATTTGCACTCACTCTTCTGTGTGGTACAGGCGCCATGAAAAATAAATGGAGTGATTACGGCAGGCGAGCTGGTTGATGTTACAATTGTTTGAAAAACCGGAGACAACGGACGATGAAAAAGGGGACAACAAACAAAATGTCTGAATTGAGACGTTTTGTATGTTGTCCTCTTTTTTGTCTTCCGTCGTCTCCGGTTTTTTAAAAAAAAATATAAAAAATAGCTTGCTGATAGACCACAATATGGCGGCGATAACAAGATTGCTCTAACCTACAGAAACGGTAGCTGTGGGTATGGGATGCACATTGTTATCCGGGATTTTGGCAACTTATTGTCGGCAGTGACAACATCAAAAATGTGCCAAACGTTTTTTTTTTTTTTTTTTTTTTTTTTTTAGGAAAAGTTGCGTTGTAAATTTGGACCTATTACACTTATCAACCCCACTCATTTAAGTTTTGTTTTCTTCTAAAGACTGGGAAATCGTTTGCATTTTATTCTGTTATCAGGCACCGTACGTTTATAAGATACGAAAAAATATCGCGTCGATCAGTACCAAAAGTATCCTTCTTTCCTATGGCAAGGAAGTATTTTTAAATGGTGCAAATGTCATGAGGAGGGCGCAACATTTGCGATCTAGCTTTTATACTCAAGTTTTTTTGTAAAATCATTGTAAAGGGACGTACTGATGTGTACTGGAAAATTACTATACTGAACATGCCATGGCATACCAGTGTATAATGGGTAGTCTTTATACTGCACACACCCTGGTATACTGGACAATCGTTACAGTCACAGGACATTCATTACAAAGTGTCATACTGTGGTATACCGTTTTCTGAATGGTTACTGTGCCAACCAGGGTACCTTCCTGATGACCCAAGCTGCTGTCCGGGACATGCTGAGCGGAGGAGTGACGGATGGAGTCGTGGTCAATATCGCCAGCTTAGCGGCCAAGACAGGCAGCCGAGGACTCTGCAGTTACGTCGCCTCCAAGGCCGGCATTGTCGGCCTGACAAAAACAGTGGCCCTGGATCTCGCCGACAAGGGAATTCGGTGCAACGTTGTGCTCCCGGGATTCACTGACACTCCAGTTACAAGATTCCTGACCGAGCAGGAGAAGCAGGGAATTCTCGCCCAGATTCCACTCGCTCGCTCCGCCCTGCCGCGCGAGATTGCTGAGGTGGTCGCTTTTCTCTGCTCGCCCGAGAGCTCTTACATGACTGGCGCTGCTGTTGATGCGTCTGGCGGCTGCGGATTGTAATTTTGGCTTCGGAAGCTGCACAAATTAATTGAATAAAAATATATAAAGGCTTGCCTAATATTATAGTAACTTCGATTGAGTTTTCGGTACTGCTTTCTTGCAATGTACCTCTTTTAATTGACTTTTCGCAAGAAAACGTTTTCGAGACTCACTGCAGCAGCCTACATTTCAGTGGGAGACCTCAGATAGAAAATCTTTGCAAAACTGGATTTCTTGTTTTAAACCTGGAATTCTCTTTGCACAGTTGTCTGCGAAATGGATTTCAGGTTTCCAGCAAGAAATCCAGTTAGATTTTTTGTTCCATAATCCAGTTAACGAAAAGTTATACTATTGGTTTTCGGTAGGGCTCACATTGCGATTTCCGCGGGTCTCCTTTCAAGGACGACTATCTTCGAACATTCTCTGTATGAGTCGTCCATAATAACGACTCAAGGTCAAGTTCGCACAAAAATAAACAGCAAGCGTTTCTACAAGACACTTTTTTCTTTGCATTAGAGTCTCAATTGGAGTTTACCTGTTTCGTGTTTAAACTGAGCAGAAGACTGTACAATTACGTTTTATGCTTCCGCTTCATGCCGGACGAAGTTTTACACCCTTATAACTAATACGTTGCGAGGAAAAATCTCTGCCTTTAATTTCCTGCCCAAGTGGCACGCGAAACCTATGAATGTTCCGGAGGTTTGTCATATCTGGCCGTGAAGCGCATACGGAAAGAAAGGCAATTGACTCTTGACCAACGAACCCTCAAAAAACCGAATCCTTGTTCTGGTCCAGGGTCTTATCTTCTTAGACTAGTTGAGCTCACGCATAGGTCACGGCAACAATTAACGGTGTCCGTCACGCGTTCTGAGTGCGTCTTCTTACTTTTGGATAACGGTACCAGCAATAAGTCGTCGCAAACTTAGTAAAACCTTGATGAACTCTTTAATTTTTTTTTTTTATTTTTGCGTTTGTACACAGTTTTTAGCAAACTTCTGTCCATAAGAACGAGTCAAAACGGTGTTTCTTTGCACAGTTCCTAGCATTACGAGTCATAGCGTGATCGAAGGCATAAAGACATGCAAACAAAACAAAGAATTTGCTCGTATGCTTAGTTATTACGTTTTAATTAGGTATGCATCGAGTCCAAGATATCCCAATTCCCCAGAAATATAAAAATCGCCGCCATAAAATTATACTAGTATCATTCTTATACGATTTTTCTTGGCTCCACCTTGTCCCGGATTATTTTGACCAGGACCTTTTTGAAGGATCACGTGGTTTCTTTAGGAAACCTTATATACGGTTACCCGAAATGTTTGTCCATAGAGCGAGGTGTTATTATTAATGGCGTCAATAGTAAAAAAAGTCAATACTGTACTCTGTTGTGTTCTATCGCTCAACACACATGAGTGTTGCCAGGTTGTGGGTACAGAGTTCATGTTTAGTGTGTTTGCACCCTCCATGTGGTGCATCACTTTTTTTAAATATCAATAGTAATAAAAATAGTAACAAATATTTTGCCTTAAAAGCTATTTAGAACCTATTTAGGTTCTAAATAGCCTATTTAGAGCCCGTGAGAACTGGACCATGTTTAACCACGACACACCAACAGATATAACACGTTTGTCTGATCGAGATTGTGAGTTTCGCCACGCTTGTTTGGCGCATCAAGCAATGCACCGAGCGTCAATGCATCGCACCGACACCGCAGTTAACAGCGTTGAACATGTTTTATTTTATACCACTTCGGCATTTTTTATTGGTAATGTCTTACTTGACGCTTATGAGGATTACTGCCGTGGACCTTGCAGTTCCTTTTTACTGTTTACCATCGCCAAGTCAGCTGCTGCTGAATTTAAGCCGCAACGCATTTATAACCTGCATTTTACGTGCAGAGATTGTCGAGCATAGCACCTGAGAAGTAAGGGTTTTGCTCTGAGCACATACTGTGAACAATGAACCAAGTATGGCGTGCAATGAATACCAACCCCGCGCGCTTCCTTCTTGCGTGATGTATATAAAATACGACTGAAATTCAAAGCGCGCTTATTAAAGGAAAATGTTTATTTGGGTGTTTTGAATGCACACTTATCTCGTCTGGTCATATTTACATATACAGTGCACCCCAAACTTAATACCGCCACTGGCTTCCCAAACATTGAGCTCGTGTCTGCTACTTAATGTTAAATTTTGCTACCCAAAAGTTCAAGATGCCTTCCAGGATGCGATAAAAATCGGGAATCCAAACATTCTTCAGATAGCTTAATCGGCCGCCTGAAGCACTGTCAGAAACGGCAAATGCTATGGCAGCGTTAAGCTTGAGGGACACTGTACCTCATCGAGAATCTGCCCCACCTACACGCCAAGGACATGAATGTATGCAGTTTGCATTGACATGTTTTATATACGAAATTAAATTCACGTACGATGGCATTCAAAGCATCGGAATGGCAGCTATAACAAGCTAGAAGAATGATGTTTGCCATTATTCGGGTCACTCAATTTATCTACAGCAGCCTGCAATCTTTCAAAGGTTCGTTTTCGGTGCAGAAATAGGAAGAACGGTTCACTCTCAGCATGTGTATAAAAAAAAAATAAACACTGCGCTCGTAAATCAAGTTGCGTGGCATATACAGAGGGCAGATAAGTGCAGACGGTGTGGATGAACTGCGCGAGCCCATAGCGTAAAACCTTTTTGCATTATAACGGGAAATATTCGTAGAAGTTATGTTAAAATAATAAAACAGTTCCGTTAGAATAATGATAGAGAAGCTTATCAGTTAAAAATCAGGACTTATGTTGTTCGTAAAGACAGGCGCTGGATTAAGATAAAATATTCCCTCGGAAATTTTCAATAGTTCATATCTTTATAGCTGTTTTCCGAGACATGCCGGTAACAGATGTGCCTGATGGTGTAGTGGTCATCCTGGTCGCCAAGACGGGCTTCAAAGGACGACGGTTACGTCGCTTCCAAGGCCGGCATTGTCAGCCTCACCAAAACAGTGGCCTGGGATCTCGCCGACAAGGGAATTCGGTGCAACGCTTTGGTTCCTGGTCAAGCGCATAGCGCAGCGCGAAAGATGTTCGGAGGTTTAACAGAAGACCAGAAACATAAAATGATTTCTCGGCTCTTGCTTGGACGGCCCGCACAACACCGTGAGATTGCTAACGTGGACGCTTTTTTATCTTCGCAAGAGAGCTCGAATATGGCGAGAACCGCGGTTGAAGTGGCTTGCGGCTGCTTTTTGTGATTTGAGTTTCGGAAGCTGCACAGTTTGATTGAATAAAAATAGGACAAAAAGAGCTAATTTTATCGTTCATTTGAATACGGCATTCTTTCAGCACTTTCTTTGTTGACCAGATATTTTATTAGTCTCAAGAAGAACTTCCTGCGCGCCTGAATGTGGCTGCAGACGTCGCGCTTAAAAAGTTTTCCTGGTAATTGTTTTAGATCATCATTCGCTGTTGCGCTGAGACATCTAAGAAGTGATTTTAAAATTCTGCTTATCAGCTTCACTTCCTTCGTTTGTTATCTGGACAGTCTTTCGCGTGTTAGCGCACAACTTATGACTCGAACTAAAGAAAACAAATGAACAGGATGTAAAATAGTATGTTATTTTTCGGCAACATTTTGAAAATATTGTTGGGCCCCTTCTTTGTCTAAAATAAATCTGCGGGGGGAGACCAGGAATCTTTCGTTTTGATTTTCATATTCCTTCGACCACTGTTGCCAAGGACTTTCATGCATACGCTTGGTCGAATGTAGCGTTATCGCAGATACCATGAGCACGACTGCGCCACGTATATTAATATCCACTAGCCTGGAAACGCGGCCATAACAAACTCGGTGTTTGCTTGTATTGCGGTCGTTCTATTTTCATGCATCCGTTTACACCTATGCAAAGGCTGTTTTACGATGCAACAAAAACGTAGGGTGGTTCCGCCGCATATGCTTTCAAATAAGGCTGCGCTAAGTTATCGGATGAAGCGCTGGATATCAAGCTCATTCTGGCGCAGGTGGTGTAGATGAGTCGAATTTTGAAACCTGTCAGCGATCGTTGGTATGGTAATCATCGCGCCGTCTCACTTTTTTTTCGACTTCGGCCAATAAACGGCGGGAATTAATCGGGGTCGCCTATAGAACGAAGAACAGTAAACTATATTTTTCTCCGCGCGCAAGTCTATTTAAAGATGAAACAAATCGAAAGTCAAAGTGCCACTCAACTCTCGCGCCGTCGTTCGAGTGTCGTCTCTGGTCACAACCTAGCTTCCCGTTGGGTTCTCTTTTCAAAGACCCCATCCGCGTCTTCCGCGACTGTCGACTTTTCAAGTATTAGGGGCTGTGTTGACTCCAACGTCGACGAACGCAGCGCCCGCCAGCGCAGATCGACGAATTCGTCAGCCACTGCGCTACGTCGCGCCGCACCGAGAGGCGCCCGATCGACCATGTTTAGAGTCCAGCGCGGTCCAGCGCGCCCGAGGAACTGCCCCACTTTGCACATGCGCGTCACCGTGGCAACGGCATCGCATCAACACTGCATTCTCGCTTCCTGGTAGGTACCAATCCTTCAATCATGCAATCGGTTGGTCAGAGCTCTGCGGTCGGTGTGTTTCGTCCATGTCATATAGTTAAGCTTGAAAACAGCGATTCAGAATAGTGGTGTTAGCAGTTCGAAAACAAGCGAATGATGGGGATAACGAGTGCAAATCATTTATTTTCTCCAAAGCTTCAAACTACAGTTGACGAAAGATTAAAAAAAAATTACGATGTCGCGGCGGTCGAAGCTATGCGGAGCACAATTTCGTCTGCTTCATGCGCAGGGGTTGCACTGACGTCATAACGCCGAGCTCTGATTGGCTCTGATAGAGGCACAGTGGGTAGACCTCAATGCTTGCTGCCTTCAGGTCTAGCCACTGTCCTTCCGATCGGAGCCAGTCAGAGTTCGGCTTTTTGACGTCAGTGCAACCCCTCCGCATGAAGCAGACGAACTTGCCCTCCGCACAGTCTCTTGGCAGGTTCGCCGGGGTCGTTCCAAGTGACTCGAAGATTCCGGTGATTCCGCAGGATGCTTCGTTGAAATATTCGCTCGATATTCCGCAGTGACCTTATTCTAACCGATTTTCAGTGTGTTATCATAGTAGACTTTCACGTTGACTCAATAAACTGGCACCGAAGAGAGCGGACGATGAATGAATTGCGCAGCGTACGCGTTCAAAACTTTAGCGTACTTTGCAGAAAACATACAAACAATAGAGGATTGACTCTCCTTTTCATCGACAAACGCTACTATCGTTTACAAACTGAAACACCCGTGTTGAAAATTCATGGTCAGCTAAATAAATTGTAGGTTTCACTGGGTACGCCGTTCCCGTTCATTCACGGCTCTGTTTCAATCGGAAACGGCTGCCGGTCCGTATACGACTAGCACATGATCCTATATAGCACACATATTAGTTCATCATTAATTCTAATTACCTCTACCTTTTGGCGCTTCATCGAACTTCC